GATACACGTCAACTATGACAGACAAAATGAGAAAAAAAATCCAGAAAATCACATTGTAGGATTTTTTATGAATTTATTGGCAAATTATGGTGGAAAATAAGTATTTGGTCAATAACAAAAGTTTCTCAATACTTTGTTATATACCCTTTGTTGGCAAGGACACAGGTCAAACGTTTTCTGTAAGTCTTCACAAGGTTTTCACACACTGTTGCTGGTATTTTGGCCCATTCCTCCATGCAGATCTCCTCTAGAGCAGTGATGTTTTGGGGCTGTCGCTGGGCAACACGGACTTTCAACTCCCTCCAAAGATTTTCTATGGGGTTGAGATCTGGAGACTGGCTAGGCCACTCCAGGACCTTGAAATGCTTCTTACGAAGCCACTCCTTCGTTGCCCGGGCGGTGTGTTTGGGATCATTGTCATGCTGAAAGACCCAGCCACGTTTCATCTTCAATGCCCTTGCTGATGGAAGGAGGTTTTCAATCAAAATCTCACGATACATGGCCCCATTCATTCTTTCCTTTACACGGATCAGTCGTCCTGGTCCCTTTGCAGAAAAACAGCCCCAAAGCATGATGTTTCCACCCCCCATGCTTCACAGTAGGTATGGTGTTCTTTGGATGCAACTCAGCATTCTTTGTCCTCCAAACACGATGAGTTGAGTTTTTACCAAAAAGTTCTATTTTGGTTTCATCTGACCATATGACATTCTCCCAATCCTCTTCTGGATCATCCAAATGCACTCTAGCAAACTTCAGACGGGCCTGGACATGTACTGGCATAAGCAGGGGGACACGTCTGGCAATGCAGGATTTGAGTCCTTGGCGGCGTAGTGTGTTACTGATGGTAGGCTTTGTTACTTTGGTCCCAGCTCTCTGCAGGTCATTCACTAGGTCCCCCGTGTGGTTCTGGGATTTTTGCTCACCGTTCTTGTGATCATTTTGACCCCACGGGGTGAGATCTTGTGTGGAGCCCCAGATCGAGGGAGATTATCAGTGGTCTTGTATGTCTTCCATTTCCTAATAATTGCTCCCACAGTTGATTTCTTCAAACCAAGCTGCTTACCTATTGCAGATTCAGTCTTCCCAGCCTGGTGCAGGTCTACAATTTTGTTTCTGGTGTCCTTTGACAGCTCTTTGGTCTTGGCCATAGTGGAGTTTGGAGTGTGACTGTTTGAGGTTGTGGACAGGTGTCTTTTATACTGATAACAAGTTCAAACAGGTGCCATTAATACAGGTAACGAGTGGAGGACAGAGGAGCCTCTTAAAGAAGAAGTTACAGGTCTGTGAGAGCCAGAAATCTTGCTTGTTTGTAGGTGACCAAATACTTATTTTCCACCATAATTTGCAAATAAATTCATTAAAAATCCTACAATGTGATTTTCTGGATTTTCTTTTCTCAATTTGTCTGTCATAGTTGACGTGTACCTATGATGAAAATTACAGGCCTCTCTCATCTTTTTAAGTGGGAGAACTTGCACAATTGGTGGCTGACTAAATACATTTTTTCCCCACTGTATATTATATTGTATTAAGGGTTAATCATTAAAAGCAAGCAGTCAGTCATCTCTCAACACAACTTGTTGATTATATAAGCAATAGTTTCATATATTCTGCCCATGTCAACAGTGGAGTGTATTTAATGCATTGGTTAAATATCATCAGAGACAGGGGTTCCAAGTCATACAGATTCTGGCCTGTTGTCTTTAACTTTGTTTTTCTTAAAGAAAATAAAGAACTTTGTCCCATCATTTGTTTGTTTTGAGGCCTACAGGTTTCATCACCAGTAGATGACGGTAGAGGCTCTAAATGAGGCAGCACACAGCACATTTGGGTTTTTGCCCTAGGGAAAAAAGAGGCAGAGGAGGTCTAAGAGAGAGAGAGTGAGGAAGAGGGTCAGCTTGAGTCGGTTAAAAATTGAGGAAAAAAGGGAGATGGTTTGCTAAAGAAGAATGGTAGAAAGTGTAAGGTGTGTGATCTGTGCGCTGGATCGAAGTTTTTGGAAAAAGTGCACCCTTGCCTTTTGGCTGATCCATTTGTGGTTTCAGGGTGGGTGAAAACAGAGTTGAGTGCTGTGAAATTGGTGAAGGTAACCAGAAGTGGTCTTGTGATAATAATTGTGTTTCTACTGGTCAGAGGGAGCAGGCGCTCCGAGTTAAACGAATTGGGGCAAGAGATTGTTTTGCTCTCAAGTAAAGGACGCCATTGGAAGGAGTGATTACTGGGGTAGCGGTAAATGTGAAAGTTGACCAACTGAAGGGGAAGATTCCCAGTGTTTGTGATGCTCATTGTTTGATGCGACGCAGATAGGGTGCCATGAGTGGTGACACAGAAGAGTCGTTGTCTGTTTTTTTGAGTTTTTATGTTGTCTTTGCTCGACAAAGTGTTAGGATATACAGTATAAGTTATCCTGTACAAGCTTTTATGCCGAATACATTACGTTGTTACAGGTGTCAAACTTATGTGCATGTGGCAGCAGTTTGTAAGAGGGATGTTCCGAGGTGTGAGAAGTGTGCAGAAGGGCATGAGACAAAGGAATGTGTAGCATTGTGGAAAGTAGTGGTATTTCTTAATTGTAAGGGTTCCCATGGCGCTGGGGATAATAATAATTCGTCATTTAGCAGATGCGCTTATCCAGAGCGACTTACAGGAGCAATTAGGATTAAGTGCCTTGCTCAAGGGCACATCAACAGATTTTTCACCTAGTCGGCTCGGGGATTAGAACCAGCGACGTTTCGGTTACTGGCACAATGCTCTTAACCACTAAGCTACCTGCCCCCCAGAAATGTCCAGTGCGAGAGAGGCAGGTTGAGGTTTCCAGGGTAAGAGTAGTGCAGAAGTTGTCATATGCTGAGGCAGTGAAAAAAGTAGAGGAAGATGGGTCAAGGGGTAGGGATCCTGAGAGGAGTGATGTGAGTATTAGATCTGTTCAAGTACAGAGGGATAGGCCAACAAGTGATACATGTTTCAGTAAGATTGGATTTTTAGCATTCATAGCAATGGTTATCATCTGTACTGCAGGGATGGAACATAAGTCACAGAAAATTGATGTTGTGGTGGCAGCTGCAGAGAGGTATTTGAGTGTTCGAGACTTGACGTCAGAAGAGCGACAGGGTGTGTTAAGTGGTGGTGTCCCATCCTTTCAGGCTGTTGAACTGAGGTAGGACTAAATATATTTAAATAGTGGAGTAGGGTGGTGTTTTTTTACTTTTTTTAAAGTGAGTGTAGGGTTAGATGATAGGGTATTTGTCTATTTTTATTTTATCAATCAAAGTATAAAGGAGTTATACTCCAGTCTAGTAGGTGGCGGTAATGCAACATTTATTGGATGCCAACTGCCGTAAAGAAGCAGAACAACCGTTTTCGCTTGAAAGTATGCTGAAACCTTTGCTGAATAAGCTTCTTTGTACAGTAGCAGCAGGACATTATTCTGGCAGCACAAACGGCAAAATAATGATGTTTTGGCTACTTCAGCAGAGGAACTAACATTCATCAAAGGTTAGTGGCCTATTACATTTACAGATGCATCTGTTTTGTTCCATTATTACTGACCAATGTAGGACTGTTTGTTTATTTTTGTAATAAGTGTAGGCTACTTTGCAAGATGTGCACAGTCTCCATTGAAGAGTAATGATTGCAGACCATTGGTCGAATATTTTGCAATGCATTCAACATCATTTTACATTTGATATAGCTTAGCCAACGTAACTGTCGTACATAAACAATGAGTAGGTCCTCATTACAAAACGCCAATCTCAAAATGTAATATAATGCTATAATTAACTTTTCCCTAGTGATCTTAGCAATGAGAAGAGCAAAGCATGTTATGGAAGGTGTGCTGTGTGACTCTACTCATCATCCAGAGGGATACAGAAAGTGGGTTTCCAATTCATGTCATAAAATTGTAATAATTGATGTCATACTTTTGAGCTCATGTTTTTTCTTCTTCTTTTTTTTTCTTATTGACACAAGGCAAGGCAATAACATCCACCAAACACACAATCCCACTGTTAAATTGTAGTCCTGGTCCTTCTAGGGTACAATAAGGCACACACATCAGCTCAGTATGTTTACTATGTGTTTAACTCAGTATGTTTACTATGTTTTTAACTCAGTATGTTTACTATGTGTTTAACCCAGTATGTTTACTATGTTTTTAACTCAGTATGTTTACTATGTGTTTAACCCAGTATGTTTACTATGTTTTTAACTCAGTATGTTTACTATGTTTTTAACTCAGTATGTTTACTATGTTTTTAACTCAGTATGTTTACTATGTTTTTAACTCAGTATGTTTACTATGTTTTTAAATCAGTATGTTTACTATGTTTTTAACTCAGTATGTTTACTATGTTTTTAACTCAGTATGTTTACTATGTGTTTAACTCAGTATGTTTACTATGTTTTTAACTCAGTATGTTTACTATGTGTTTAACTCAGTATGTTTACTATGTGTTTAACTCAGTATGTTTACTATGTTTTTAACTCAGTATGTTTACTATGTTTTTAACTCAGTATGTTTACTATGTTTTTAACTCAGTATGTTTACTATGTTTTTAACTCAGTATGTTTACTATGTTTTTAACTCAGTATGTTTTGAGACATGCTGAGCATGCCCAAGTATCTGGGAATGTATTGAATATCTTACTCTTGAATAAGTATAGGGATAGATTCAAGGCTGTTGGCTTATTATTCTAAAAACATATTCATTAAGTAGTTTCAGACTAGACTGGACCCAGATCAGTATGTGCTTTAGCGATCTCCTCTGACTATGGCTGCACAAATGGCTATAGGGTCAAATAATGAGCAATTGGCACTTTCTGTTGTTATTGCAATAGCCACATTTCAACATCAATATGATATCATATTTCATAAGCACAGCTAAATACAAATCATGGTCTTATCTGTGTGTTTAGGTAACTTCTCTGTTTATTAGAGTTCATAAGCATCTATTCTACAGGTATCTTTTGGACTGTTTTTTTGGCTTGTGTTTCTCTTCAGGTATACGGGTGATTGGAGGACGCAGGACTGTGGTACAGGGGGAGGATGTGGACTTATCCTGCAGACTGATAGAGACAACCAAGGAGCTCAAACACATAACATGGCAGAAAGGTACTCGGAAAGAAAAACATAACTATTATTTTATGCTGATTTAGCCCAATGGGGATACTAAGTTTATTGCACCGAATGGATTGAAAGGTAGAGTCCAGTTTATTGGGAACCTATCAGAAAACCTTGGATCTATTCGAATAACATCTGTCAGACTGTTGGATGAAGGCACCTTCACATGTATCTTTAGTGTTTTCCCCAGTGGAGCATACAATACAGAGATACCTCTGACTGTGCTTGGTAAGAACTCTTCCTTCACTCTTTACATCACTGTTTTTACTTTTGACAGTGTAGAAACACTGCATGTGATAATCAATACTAGAAGGCTAAAAAGTTGGATGGTTCATTATTCAGGTGAAGCAAGAGCAGAGCCCTCATCCACAGGTTTTGCTTTGCCAAGGAAAATCCATCTTCTCTACACGTAGAAAAAAGGGTTCCAAAGGTTGTTGTTTTTTCTCCAGAGGGATACGATTCGACCTATAACCTTTTCTTATCCTAAGAACCGTTTTTGGAAGAAATAGTTATTTTATGATTCTTTGAAAGGCAATAAGGGTCTACATAGAAACCCTTCAGCTGCTAACATAATTACAAAAGGGTTTTCTAATGATCAATTAGCCTTTTTAAATGATAAACTTGGATTAGCAAACACAACTTGCCATTGGAACACAGGACTGATGGTTGCTGATAATGGGCCTCTGTATGTCTATGTAGATATTCCATTAAAAATCAGCCGTTTCCAGCTACAATAGCCATTTACAACATTAACAATGTCTACACTGTATTTCTGCTCAATTTTATGTTATTTTAATGGACCAAAAAAATGCTTTTCTTTAGAAAACAAGGACATTTATAAGTGACCCCAAACTTTTGAACGGTAGTGTATGCGTGAAATTAATTTTCATTTACAGTGGACCATTATCATGCACATGTCATGTATGCACTTAAACAGCGAAGGGAGGATGCTTTTCCCGTGGTTCATTTGCATGCCAGCCAGGTAGGCTATACTCCTGTTGTAAAGCGAAGCAATGTGCTTAATATTAGGAAAGTTGATAAATAAATATAGTAGGTCTAGCCTATAGAAATCTGATGGGATCCTCCTCTTTTTAATAGAGGCCATCAAAACTCTGTTTTCTCACGCAATTGCATATCCTATAGAAATGTTGTGCAACATGAGCTTATGTGTGTAAGGGATCTGGGGTTGGCTGGGTCTAGACAGAGTCTGACACTTCCCCGATCTACAGAGAGGGGGAGTCATCAGACTCGATCTGGTTCACCTGAGTTCTGAGCACACCTGTCAGTAATTAGTGTAGGATATAAAGTGTGCTCAGAAGTTCAGTCGGTGCGAGGTATTGTTCCTTTGTGACTTGCTAAGCGGTTTGTTCAGAGAGAGAGAGAGAGAGAGAGAGAGCTAGTTTGTTTTGATTACCAGTGTACCAGACCTGTGCTTCGTTGTTTGACTCCCCGAATTGCTTAATCCTCTGCTTGTCTATCCCAGTGATTACCGTACTCTGAACCTGTGCCCGTGCCCTCGACTACGACTACGCCCGCTCCCTTGGTACCTCTGCATGTCTCTGCCTTGCCCGGTTTTGACCACAGCTCGCCAGACCACGATTAAGCTATTCCCTTGTCTGTACTCTAATAAAGCATCGCAATTCTGCGATTGGATCTTACCACTCTGTCCGAGTATTCATTACAATGGGCTCTCATGAAGTGTTTGAATAGATTTTATATTACCTTTGCATTGATGTCAGAGTGATTAGAGGGACAATAGAATGCTAAGTACCAGGCAGTTAGCAAGTTTGGTAGGCTACTAATGACCATCAGCAGCATCAGAGCTTGGAGAAGACTAATTCAGTTTTAGAGTTGATTTCGTGCAATTCTACACATTTTGCCATGAAAGCCAGTTTTCTGCAACTCTACTCATTTTGCCATGGGGTGGAGAGAAAATGTTGCAGTTGTATAACAACTTGCCCATCCCTGGTGTACAATAAAACACTCAAAACCACGCCCATTATTATCATATTTCTGAGCATGCTCTATTGCAGGTTGATTTGTTTGTTTCAATATCTGTGTTTTTGTATGCACATTGATTAGTATGATTAACCTTATGCTACACGAAAAAAAGAACATACAATTAATCAACTAATTCAATCTTTTACTAGTTGGACTTATTGCACCCGGTTGTTCCAGTTTAGATAATTTAGGTAGATCATTTATCAATCTTCCCTAACCTGTCAGTCATTCTAAAATGCAGGTTGCAGGTGATTAAAAGTTCCAATTGTTGGATATCCTCACTCTGGCTGAGTAAGGCACTTAACCCTAATTTGCTCCAGCGGTGCTGTACTACTATGGCTGACCCTGTAAAACAACACATTTCACTGCACTTATCTGGTGTATGTGACAATAAAACATTTTTAAATACATTTTATTATTTATAGAGGGTTCTAGGCAGAACCATTTACAATGGGATCTACGAAGAACCCATAGAGATCCTATTCTAATTCCTAATTCTATGGAAGAACCCTACATAAAGGGTTCTAGGTGGTACCCTCTACAAAGGGTTCTACCTAGCACCAAAAAGTGTTCACCTATGGGGACAAACCGAAGAACCCTATGTGGTTGTACTTAGCACCTTTCTTTCTAGTGTATCCTGTTACTCAAGCTGTAACCAGGAGAGCACAGGCATCAATAGTTTACCTAATGGTGGAACAGACATTGGAATTTACAGTATACACCACTATATCCTTTATACTTTAACGGCATAATCACTGGGCTGTGAATGCTTTTCAGTGAAACAGCTGAAGCTGAAAAACAGCTTTTGCAATTGTGTGTGTGTGTTAAATTTAATATCTCAGGTGCAAGTACCTCTCATCAGGGTGAGTTAAAAGCGGATTTGCCCAAACCTCCAATACAGTAAATTTGTAGTTACTAATGATGTATATTGCAATTGGCCAGATAGAGAACATGATAGGGTTTATTTAAAGTGTGTTGGTCATGTAACATAAGCATTTGGATAAGTTTCACATGACGGGCTGCGTGTGTTTGGGTTGTTTTTTTCATGTATAGTTCCACATTTATAATGAGTGACTTGTTCATGTTTTCTGTTCTCTGTTTGTTTGTTTTCTGGTCATAGTTCCTCCAGTAGTGAGTGTGACAGTTGATGTTCCTCCTGTCATTGGGGAGAATGAGGGAGTCTTGGCAACCTGCGTGGCTGCTGGTGCCAAGCCACAGGCAGAAGTGAAGTGGATTTCAGGTACATTCGGTAGTTTGTTGAGGACGGTGACTAACTCCACCAAGCACGCCAACGGAACCACCACAATACTCCGCCACCTGCTCGGGGTGCCAACCAGAGCAGCCAATCAGCAGCAGGTCCAGTGTGTGGTCAACCAGTCTGCCCTGACAACAGAAAGGAGCTACAACTACAACATAGACATCCACTGTAAGTGTCTTCTACTACCACTGTCCTACACTATAAACAGACACTGTAAATATATTCTACTACTACTGTCCTACACTATAGACAGACACTGTAAATATATTCTAATACTACTGTCCTACACTATAGACAGACACTGTAAATATATTCTACTACTACTGTCCTACACTATAGACAGACACTGTAAATATATTCTACTACTACTGTCCTACACTATAGACAGACAATGTAAATATATTCTACTACTACTGTCCTACACTATAGACAGACACTGTAAATATATTATACTACTACTGTCCTACACTATAGACAGACACTGTAAATATATTCTACTACTACTGTCCTACACTATAGACAGACACTTTAAATATATACTCCACTACCTCTGTCCTACACTATCGGCATCCACTGTAAATGTATATTCCAGTATCACTGTTACAGACCATAGACATCCACTGTAAGTATAGACTCTCACTGTCTTCACTGGCTGTAGCCTAGTAGTCCCTCTAACCAGTCCCTGTCTGTCCATACACTCTTAAAGGTGCTATCTAGAACCAAAAATGGCTCTTCGGCTGTCCCCGTAGGAGACCCTTTGAATAACCCATATTAGTTCCCTTTCCACAGAGGAAATATTTTTATCTAGCCTGTAACAACGGTTATTTTCTTTAGCTTAAACATAGTTCTGAGGCACAGAGTGGTATGGACCTATACAAGGCTTTCATTGTACTGCTCCCCTTTCCATGATTCCGTCATCCCGTCCGAGTCTTCCAGAGCCAATGCAGTTGGGCCATGCTTCTCTCTCGCGTATCGAACGTCAAAGGCGGCTCCAAGAACGGCTCTGTCTATACTGTGGAGAGAAAGATAATCTACTCAGCCATTGCCCTGTTCACCCCCCACTTAGAGATGAGAAGGGTCCCTCTGCTGCCAAGCAGGTAGGCGTGTCCTTATTTCTAAATATCTCCCAGAAGCAATTCTCCATACCAGTATTGATAACCGCGAAGGGGGTTACTAAGTACGTAGAGGGCTTGATAGATTCAGGAGCAGCAGGTAATTTTATTGATCACCAGCTAGTACAAGAGCTTGACATTGATCTAAAACCTGTCACCCCTCCCTTAAGGATTAACGCCCTGGACGGGCAGCCATTGGGCACGGGCTTCATTACGCACCTGACACAGAGCGTCACCCTCCAGATTGGAGTCTTCCACACTGAAACCATTCAACTCATGGAACTATCATCCCCCAAACAGCCACTCATCCTCGGACACCCCTGGCTTTGTCGTCACGACCCTGCCATCTCGTGGCGACAAGGTGAACTACTGTCCTGGTCTTCTACCTGCTTCATTAGTTGTCTCAGCCTACCCTGCAGAGCCACTACCATTGAGGACTCTGCTTCTGCAGTGCCACTCACTATACCATCTGAATACGCCCAGTACAGCAATGTCTTCAACAAAATCAAGGCCTCCACTCTGCCACCACATCGCCCAGTGGACTGTGTTATTGACTTACTCCCTGGAGTGTCCCCACCGAAGGGCCGTGTTTACCCCCTATCTATCCCGGAAAATGAGGCAATGGAGAACTACATTGATGAAGCACTCAAACGGTTTCATTCGTCCTTCTTCTTCCCCGGCTGCATCCAGCTTCTTCTTTGTTGGAAAAAAGGATGGTGGTCTCCGTACATGTATTGATTACCGTTCCCGGAATGACATCATGGTCAAGAACCGTTTCCCTCTTCCTCTGATCCCAGCGACCCTTGAACAAGTGGGCCGCGCCAACATCTATACAAAACTCGACCTGCGAAGTGCATATAACCTTGTCCGTATACGTGAACGCGATGAATGAAAGACGGCCTTTATCACCGCAAGAGGGCACTACGAATACCTGGTCATGCCCTACAGCCTTACTAACGCCCCCGCCATCTTCCAATCCTTTATGAACAAGGTTTTTCAGGATATGATCAACCGCTTTCTCATCGTCTACATTGATGACTTCCCGATTTACTCCCACTCCCTGATGGAACACATACAGCATGTACAAAAGGTTATTCAACGGGTCCTTGACCATAACCTTTATGTGAAGACTGAAAAGAGCACCTTCTCTGTAACCTCAGTAAACTTCCTCGGATTCGTACTGACACCTGGAGGGGTCAGCATGGATGAGAACAAAGTCACCGCTGTCAGTAACTGGCCCAAACCCACCACCGTTAAGGAACTCCAACGTTTAATTGGGTTCACCAACTTCTATCGCCGGTTCATTCGGAACTTCAGTTCTACTGCCGCTCCCCTCACTGCCCTTACCAGCCAAAAGACCCGGACCCGTCAATGGACTGATACCGCCCTAACTGCTTTCAACAACTTGAAACGCCTCTTCACCTCAGCTCCTGTCCTTCGCCAACCTGATCCGACCCTTCCTTTCACCCTGGAGGTGGATGCCTCCGAAGTAGGAGTAGGAGCCATACTCTCTCAGCGAGTGGGTACACGTCCAAACTCACATCACTGTTCGTTCTTCTCCACTAAGTTATCCTCCACTGAGAGGAATTATGATGTGGGGAACAGAGAACTCCTCGCCATCAAGCGGGCCCTCGAGGAGTGGCGCCACTGGTTGGAGGGCGGACAACATCCCTTTCTCATCCTAACAGATCATCGTAATCTGGAATATATCAGAGGGGGCAAGAGGTTAAACTCCAGACCCCTGGGCTCTCTTCTTCACACGTTTCCATTTTCATGTTACTTACATCCTTGGAAAGAAAAACATAAAAGCTGATGCTCTCTCCCGCCAGTTTGACCTTCCGACCAGTAATTCATACCCTACACTGATTCTTCCTTCCTCTTGCATATAGGTACCGGTACAGTGGGAGGTTCACTCTGCTATACAAGAAGCCCTAACCTCAGACCCGGCTCCTCCTGAGACACCAGCTGGGAAGAGTTACGTACCAGCAGCTGTTAGACCCCAACTGATGCAATGGTGTCACACGTCCTTGGGCTCAGGACATCCGGGCATTACACGAACCACCGAACTTCTAGCCCGTAAATTCTGGTGGTCCTCACTGGCATCCGACGTAAGGGATTACGTACTCTCCTGTCCAGTCTGTGCCCAAACCAAAAGCCCTCGTCATCTCCCTTCCGGTAAGCTTCAACCTTTGCCAATCCCTCACAGACCCTGGTTCCACTTAGCTGTTGACTTCATCACAGACCTTCCTGAATCCTCTGGTAACACCACCATCCTTGTCATAGTAGCCTGTTTTTCAAAAATGTGTCGTCGGGTTCCTCTTCCTCATTTACCTAACGCCATGGAATTGGCTGAGTGTATGTTCCAGCAGGTGTTCCGTCTGTATGGGATTCCGGAGAACATCGTTTCTGACTGTGGGCCCCAGTTTGTCTCCCGGTTGTGGCGAGCCTTCTGTGACCGACTGGGGGTCGCCCTCAGCCTCTCCTCCGGGTACCATCCCCAGACCAACGGGCAGACGGAACGCCTGAACCAAGAAATAGGGAAGTACCTCCGCCAACAGTGTTCTGCCTTTCCACACGGCTGGAGTCAGTATATGGCCTGGGCTGAATACGCTCAGAACTCACTCATGCATTCATCCCTTTGCCTTACTCCGTTTCAGTATGTACTTGGTTACCAACCCCCCATTTTTCCCTGGGAGGCGGAGCCTGGTACTTTCCCAGCTCTCGACGACTGGTTTCGGCATAGTGAGCGGTTATGGGAGACCGCTCACCGGCATCTGCAGGAAGCCTCTAATACCCAGAAACGCTTTGCCAACAGACGCCGCCGACCTACGCCACTCTTTCACCCTGGACAGCGTGTGTGGCTCTCTACCAGAGACATCCGGCTCCGCCTCCCCTGCAAAAAGTTCTGTCCTCGCTTCATTCAACATAACCCATCGCATCAACCCTGTCACGTACCGCCTCCAGTTACCCCGTCAGTATAAAATCTCCTCGTCCTTCCATGTGTCTCTGTTAAAACCGGTCACCTACAGTCCTCTTCATCCTCCAGTCTCAATCCGCAGTGCGGCCCCACCGTTGGATGTCGGAGGGGAACCTGCCTATGCCATTCAGGCCATCCTTGATTCCAAACGCCTGAGAGGTCGCTTCCACTATCTAGTGGACTGGGAAGGTTATTGGCCTGAAGACCGGTCCGGGGTTCCCGACAAGGACATCCTCGACCCGTAGATGATTCGGGCATTCCACCGTAACCGTTCGAATTGTCCCATTCCCTGACCTCTGGGTCGACCCCCGAACAGACCCACTGGACATCCGCCTCGACGCAGAATGTCGGGTTAGTCCATGACCTTGTCGAACCAGCCTGCCGGACCTCACCCTCCGGTGCCGTTGGGTCGTCAGGGGGGTACTGTAAGGTTCTGTATTTATTTTCTTAGTCAACCTTGTGTTCTTGAACGCTGCCCTGTTTCTTTGTGTTCTTGAACGTAGCCCTGTATTTCATTTTTGTTCATTGATATCACCTGTTTGTTGCTCACCTAGTCTCATTAGCTCCATATTTACTTCAGTTCATTCTGTTTGTGCCTTGTGAGGTATTGTTTGTTTTGACTCTACTAAGACTTTTTCTAGCTCGTTTTTGAGAACCAGCTATAGCCTTCAGTCCTAGTTTATGGTTATCCTGCCTGTTTGCCTACCTGTGTATGACCATTGCCTGCATGTGACCACGATTCCTGTCTTTTGCCAAAGCGAAATAAACACGTGCCGTGCTCTGCGCGTGAATGTACACCTTTTTCTCCCTGAGTATTCATTACATATACAAGGAGTACCAGTGCCAGATCAATGTGCAGAGGTACGAGGTACAGGTAGTTTAGGTAGATATGTAAATGAAGGCAGGGTAAAGTGAATAGGCATCAGGATAGATAATAATAAGAATAAAGAACCACGTAGCAGCAGCAAATTATGTGTAAAAGTGTTTGTGTTGTGTTTGTGCAGTACCAGTCAAGGGTTTGGACACACCTACTCATTCAAGGGTTTTTATTTATTTTAACTGTTTTCTACACATTGTAGAATAATTGTGAAGACATCAAAACTATGAAATAACACATGGAATCATGTAGTAACCAAATAAGTGTTAAACAAATCAAAATATATTTTAT